TTTCATCTTTAAAAGCAACCATCCTTAAAAGCAACCATTTAAACCAGTGGTGTCAAACATGTGGCCCAGGGTCGGAAGGGCTCCTATCTGGCCTGTAAGCGACTGGCTCTTGTCTGCTTCCTACCTCATCTTCCTGCTTCCTTGTTCCTGCATTGCAGCTTGCTTTTGCGCAGCTCCCTCCTCTCCTGCCTTCTGTTTCACAGATGAGAGAAGAAAGCCAAGCCTCCCTTCCCTCCATTGCCTGAGGGCTCCTCGCCCTCCTCCTTTGGATGAAAGAGCCAGAGAGAGAGAGACGGATGGACTCCCATGGACCAACTAAGTTTTATTCCAGGTATAAGCTTTCTTGTGTGCACACATTTCTTCGGAGAGGGAAGGAGGGAGGGACAGGGAGTGAAAGAGCCGGAGAGAGCAGGAGAGAGAAAGGGAGATCCCCCTTTCCAGTTCTAACAGATGGGGGGAGGAAGAAACATAAAAGCACAGCTTGCATCTTTATTAGTGGAAGGGAGCAAAAATCCAGCAGCACATTAATGACTAACAAAATCTGTGGCAGGACATGAGCTTTCATGAGTTACTGCTCACTTCTTCAGATATGTAATGATACTAATAAGAATATATTAAATATATTGAATATGTAATCACATACAGCACTTCAAAAGAATGTAATGCACATCATAGAGTCGTACAAACCACGGAATGATGATTCTTAACGTGATACAATCCAAAATAGTCCTGAGTAAATCAGTTCTCAACAGCAGTCATCCCAGAGAATAGAAAGTTTATTGAGATCTTTATGGCATTCAGGTATCTTAACTGTTTCATGTTAGAACTGAGAGTAAAGCGTGTGAAGCTAATAGAAATACAGAGTTCAAGGGGGACCTAGATGGCTCAGGGCCAATCAGACTACAGGTAGAAGCCTAGGGGCAATAACAGTCCATAGGGAAAATACTGTCCAGTATACCCCAATGGTATCGTACGTAATATTAAGACCGTTTCAAAGACAATCCTTCATCAAAGGGTATAGTGAGTCAAGGTAGGTACCTGCAGATGAAAATACAAAAAAACAAAGAAACTACAACTCCTTGCAAAGAAAATCTTTAAATCATCCAGGCTTATTAGACTATACTTACAATGCCCATGCACAAATAAAAATGCTGTTTCATATTAAGTGGAGTCCAAGGCCTCTTAGCAAATTCACAACTCAATGGTATCAAATCTAGCAGGCAAAAAGACTCTTAAGATGGACATTCCATATTACATACATGTTTTTATTGTCCCAGCTGTATCTGTAATGGCATCACAGATGTCTTAAAAGGATAACATTTTAAAGATTGTGTACAAAAAGTCATACCTAGTTGTGAATTTTGCTATGCATCTTTAAACATTTATAGCAATATATAAACCGTATATTAATCCTTATGACTTAATCATTTAATACTTCACATTCCTGGTGGGACATGTCAAGGCACTTCATTTTTTTCTCTTGGGTGGGTCCCTACGGGATGACTTACCGGGTTTTTGGTGCCATAACATTGTGCCAGCATCAGGGGCATACCTGGGGTAGGAGAGGCTTAGGAAGCTAAACCCCACTGTATGCCTGGGGTCTCCAACATGGTGCCTGTGATGCAGGGCTTCTGATTGACCACTGGCGATCTGATGGACTGTACACATTAAAATAATGTTTTTGTGGCAGCTGCCACTGCAGTGTTGGTTTTATTCTCTCATTGCTCTTTTCCGGTGTATTTTTTTTAAAAGTACTCCTCTTGTCCTCTGCACTTGGGCTTCCTTTGTGTATGGCCCCACCTTTCATGATGGCCATTTTGTGGTTGCCCCCACCACCTTGTGTCAGAATTCCAAGGGTGTCCACAGGCTCAAAAAGACTGAGAACCCCCGATCTACACACTCTCCTGATCTTACCCGAGTCAGTACTACCATAGGAGTCATACTAGCATGGTGTGATGTCAGTGGGGCTTGTTACCAGTATATATCTGGACATACCAATATATCTCAAAGACAGGCCAGCATAACACGTAGTTGCCATCCTAAGCCCTTTTGACACTGCAGCCCTACTGGCTTAGTAACATTTTTTCGGATGTTACTGGGTGTCATGCTGTAGTGACTGCTTTAATTTATAGTTTCGGCACTAAAAATAGAATAGTTGAGGTTTTTTATGAAGACTTCAGATGCTCGTGGCATGTGTTACTTGATTCAATTTTAATGAAGAATGTTGTGGGGAGGGGGTGTTCCAAAAGCAGGTAGACAATTTATTATTTTTTCTAGTAATTCACTTTCTTCTGCTATGCAGATCAGTCTAAGCAGCTTAGAACAATAATTTATGAATTAACAATGTTATCAGTCACCTGAGTCTCAGGGCCCTTGTGGTGATCCAATAGAACTGTAAACATAATATTGCATAATAAATTGGTTAGCCACATATAAAACAATTATCTCAAAAAGAAGTATGCAGCCTGAGATGTTTCGGTATGCATGGTGCAGTTATTCATCATAGATGTCCGTGTAGTATCTCCCATTTCCCAAGATTTGTGGATAGGCTTTGTGTGTTTTGAGAAGGCAACACTCTCCTTCAATAACAAAAACTTTGGTCACTCACCCAGGATTTTCAGAGGCCTTGTGTTTGGAGCCACATAGATTTCTTTGGCTCTCATGTTCAGTCAGCTACATGGAATGTATTGTAGAAGTTGTAGGCCTGGGCACAAACTATAAGCAGAAACTCCACAGCTTAGAGGGAGCATTGGTTATGGCTTGTATAATTTTTGGACAAATATGACATATTTTGGATGAGCCCACCAATGATACAACTTGTGCTTGGTTTGTTATGTGAAGGGGTAAAGTTTTGGTTTTATGTTATCACTATTTTTGCTTTTATATAGCTATACTGGTTTTCTATTTCATCGGCACAGGACATTTTTTGCTGAGCTAAGACTTATGTGTACCAGTTTTAGGCATTCTAGAGCAACATTTGTAGTATAATGGTCACAGAACACTATGATGTGTGTGTAAAAGTGTGAAAATAAACAAAAAAGGGGGGATTTTAACCCAGAACAGACCAGGTAACCTAAAAGCTTGGAAAGACTGAAAAAGAGAGAAAAAAACCCCTTATATATTTACTCATTTATTTTGGGGACTCTTATCCCACCCTACCTCGTAAGCAGGCTCAGGGCAGCTTACAGCATATCATCCAACAATAAAACCATACATTAATTAAATAGGATAATTAAATATGGAGATAAAAATGTCAGTTATGAAAAGCTAATATTATATTCCAAAAATTTAAATCAAATTATAAATAATTAAAACTGTGCATCAAAATCCATCAGTTTTTGGTTATAGTAATAGTTACCTTCCCCTAGTGTACCTTCTCAGTAAAATTGCACTTATACACATGGGGTTGTTGCACACTTACACGTATCTTTCCAATGACCAGGTACAATTATAAATAACATAAAATACGTGTAAACAAAACCAAATTTATTATTTATAGCCCGGCCATCCAACAAGTGTTTTGGTCATGAGGCCTTCCTCATTGGTTTAAATTGTCTTTCTTAATGTTAGCTGTGAGTAATCTGGTGGAAATTGTTCATATTGTCTCTTTCCATGTGCTAAGAGAAGTTGTCCTGGAGCAAGTTTTGGAAAATATATGGCTCTGTTATAATCAGAAACAGTGGCTGAACTGAGATCCAGATCCTACTACCACTTTAGCTGTTACCTAACTAGGAAGTATTTTCACAGCACATTTTAGGTGGGTGTGTGTTTAAAAGAGTTTTTTTTCAATAACACAAATACATCCCAGAGGGTGTGTCTTTGCAATTGCACAAACTTCTAGTTTAGATTCCTAGTTTGGGGTGGTGGTGTAATGATGTAGTCAACAGGCTGTGGTGAGAAAGTGCTGCAATTTCCAAAGTACCTCCGTGCCCAGGTGGAAGGACAACAGTGGTACCCTATGCAGTCAAACCCTTCTAAACTCATTGCCCTAATTGCACTATAACATAGCAAAAGGGTGTAGTTCTGTTTAGTGTTGTTTTGTAAACATGAAGCCAAGAGATTCCTGGCTGAGGTATAAGAGAATAGGTACTTCCAGGATGTCAGAAAGAACCCATGTGGAAAGCAATATGACAGTTCTCTCTAGTCAGTTTGCTGTAGTGGTTAAGAGCATGGACTCTAATCTGAGAGAATTGATTCTCTCCACTAGTCCACATGCAGCTGCTGGTGTGACCTTGGATCAGTCATGGCTCTCTCAGAGTTGTTCTCCTTGAAAGGGCTCTCTCAGCCCCACCAACCTCACAGGGTGTCTGTTGTGGGGAGGGGAAGGGAAAGGAGATTGTAAACTGCTTTGAGACTCCTTTGGGTAATGAAGGGCAGGGTATAAATCCAGTCTCTTCTTCTAATGTATTGGATTAGAATAGCAAATCGTTCTGTTGGAATATCAAAACACAGAAGAACAAATTGTTCTGGAGGATAGGAAGGTTCCATTGCTTTGTTCATTGTATACATTATACAGTTGCACCGTTTCTCTGTTGGTTATTGGCCCAGAAGTAGCATTTCTCTCCTCCTTGCACACTCTCCTACACAGCCCCATATAAAAAGCACTAAATATAAAATTAGCCGGGACGGGGGCGCCTAACAGATTTATCCAACTGAATTTGCACCCCATCGCCACATCATCGTATTGCCTGGACTTCACCCTTCAAAATGACAAATAAACTAGACTGGCTACTAATTACAGCTAGCTTGTGAGGTGAAACAAAGAAGAGGAGGCCATGCATACGGGGAGGGGACGGACGGGAGAAGAACGAGACGTGAAACATTTCAAAATACAATTCTAGAGAAGCGCCCGTACTACTCCACCTCAGCCGCGCAGCCGAAGAAGGGCACCTCCCCCGCTCACCCGGCAGCTGAATGTTTCCGTGACGTCATCTCCCGCGGCAGCCAATGCCCCTCAGGGCGTGATACCGGCTAGAGACTCCTCCCTGCTTTATGAGGAGTCAAGCGCTTCTAAGGAGGCTTGGCTGTAGAGGGCTACTTTAAAAGCAGAAGGGGGTGGAGTTTGGTAACGGGGACTGTGAAAGAGGAGAGAGAGCGCCGCAAGCCCGGGCACGGTCTCGTGCAGCAGCAGCCAGCGCCTCAGCCATGGGGAACGTCGTGGCTCGTGAGGATTTCGAATGGGTTTATACGGACCAGCCACACGCCGCCCGGCGAACGGAGATCTTGCGTAAGTCGTTGGACCGCGGGTGCTTCCCCTTTCACTTCCTCCCGCTCCGTGTCTGTCAGGCTTCCCCCGTTCCTCGCGGGACCGCTTCGCCTTCTCCCCCCTCCCCCAACGCCTTGGCTGAAGGAGGCGAGGCAGGATGCCCTCGGGATCTTTCTTGGGTTTGGGTTCCAGGGAGGGCTTCCCAAATATCTCGGCCTTCAGCGCCTGCATCTCGGTTGCCGACCGGAGGTGAAGGAAGACAAGGCCCCGACTGAGCGTCGAGACGAAGGGCGAACTGAAGCCTGTGGAGACGTCATGAATCACACGCGGGAAGGGTTTGGTTGACGACCCGTTCGTTAAACGCTGTTCTATTTCCCAACCCCACTGGGGTGAGCTGAGTTAGGCAAGCTTGATCGTAGCTTCCTCCCCAGTTTCTAGCAGGAGGCTTTGGCACCAAAAATGCAAGTCCAGTGATAATCCGTTTTGCAGGCTGCTAGTACTTACTGCCTAGCTGCAGCATTAGGCAGGGAGCGAACTCGGGAAATTAGTCACCTTGCAAGGGTGGAACTTGTGCTAACTCAGTGGTGCTTGGAGTTGCCAGCTTTCAGGTGGTAATTGGAGGTCTTCTAGAATTACAGCTGATTGTGGGACTACAGAAATCAGTTCCCCTGGGGAAAATGGTTGATGTGGAACATTGGCTCCCAGCCTTGTTGGTATGGTAGTGACCCACACAAGTCCTGCCTCACCAACCTTTTGAAGTTCTTTGGAAAATTAAAGAAGTATGTAGAAAATGACCTAGTAAACATTATATACCTGGACTTTCAAAAGGCTTTTGACAAGGTACCTCACCAAAGACTCCTGAGCAAGCTGTGGTGGGATAAGAGGATGGGTTCTCTTATGGATTAAAAACTGATTAAATGACAGGAAGCAAAGAGTAGGAATCATTAGACAGTTCTCACAATGGAGGAAAGTAAGCAGTGGGGTGCCACAAGGATTGGTATTGGTGTCAGTACTATTTATTTTCTTCGTAAGTGATCTGGAACTAGGGGTGAGTAGTGTAGTGGCCAAGTTTGCAGATGACACCAAATTATTCAGGATGGTGAAAACCAAGGCTGACTGTGAAGAGCTCCAAGAGGGTCTTCACAAACTGGGTGGGTGGGTGACAATGTGACAAATGTTCAGTGTTGGCAAGTGTACGGTGATACACATTGGGACAAAAAAAATCCCAACTTCAAGTATAGGCTAATTTTTTAAAAATTTATATCTGCATTTATATCCCGCCCTCCCTGCCATTAGGTCTGAACTTGCTGAGGGTGAGAGGGAACTTGGGGTGGTAGTGGATAGCTCAAGGAAAGTGTCAACCCAGTATGCAACAGTAGTGAAAAAGGCAAACTCTGTTAGGGATTGTTAGGAAGGGGATTGAGAATAAAATGGCCAATATTATAATGTCCCTGGATAGATCTATGGTGCAGCCTCATTTGGAATACTGTGTGCAGTTCTGGTCACTGTATCTCCAAAAGGACATTGCAGAGCTGGAAAAAGTATGGAGGAGGGCAACCAAAATTATTAGGGGATTGGAGCACCTTCCCTATGAGGAAAGGCTGAAGAGTGGGACTTTTCAGTTTAAAAAAGAGATGAGTAAAGAGGGCACATGATAGAGGTTTAGAAAATTATGCATGGGGTGGAAAGAGTTGACAAATAGAAGTTTTTCTCCCTCTTCCAAAATACTAGAGCCCAAGGACATCCAGTGAAGCCAATGGGCAGTAGGTTCAGGATGGGCAAAAGGAAATACTACTTAACATAGAGAGTTATTAAAATGTAGAATTTGCTGCCAGAGGATGTAGTGATGGCTACAGGAATAAACAGATTTAAAACGGGATTAGATAGATTCAAGGAGGATAAGTCTATTAATGGCGACTAGCCATGGTGACTGAGGGGAACCTCCAAATTCAGAGGCACTATTCCTCTGAATCCCAGAGCCAGGAGGCAACATCAGGGGAAGGCCTTGGCCTCTATGCCCTGTTGTTGGCCATCCAGAGGAACTGGTTGGCCATTGTGTGAGACAGGATGCTGGATTAGATGGACTGTTGGTCTGATCTGGCAGGGCTCTTATGTTCTTAGTTGTCTGTACTCAACAAGGCTTATACACTCAGGAAAGAGAGCATAGGAGTGCTTTGTAAAAAAGTCACATTGAATGAAATGGGATTTATTTGAGAAAAAACACACAGAAAAAGGATGGGAGGGATTTGGCCTCACCTGGACATACAGAGACAGGATCCGAGTCTCTGCTACCCCATTGACTGTCTCAAGTAGAGACTGAGAAAGCAAAACATGGAAAAGAGGTTGGGTTATACATGGATTGTTCCTTATATAGCTGAAAGCTTCAGATGTCAAACCTGAATTTCCTGCAATACTGTTTTAGAATTGAGGGCTCTTCCCCCAGTATTCCATTTAACTTCAGTGGCATATGCCAAGGATGTATATACATGTGAGGAAATACATTAATCTGAGCATGGAAGGTCAGTTTCAGAGTCTCTGGGGGGGGGGGAAAGGAAGAGTAAGAAATAGTGATATTATATTATGAGGGGGGTCTATTGTAGACCACCAAGCCAGGCAGAGAACTTGGATGATACACTCCTAGGGAAAATAGCAAAAAAGAGGAGAGACCTCTGCAAGATACTTCAGAAAGTACTGAGTGCTGGAGATCACAAAAAGACAGGGACAAAAGCAACTGTCCTTGCTTATGTAAAAAGCAAATTATTATATACAGTGCAAACAAGCCTTATATAAGTGCAAACAACCCTATAGAGTATAATAGTCTCTCAGTGTCCATCAGTGGGTTGCTGATGTTTGAAGCTCTATTGGTAATGCATTTTGTTAACCAAGTTTAGAATAATAGAATAACAGAGTTGGAAAGGGCCATACAGGCCATCTAGCCCAACCCCCTGCTCAATGCATGATCGGCCTAGATCCCTGACAAGTGTTTGTTCAGCTGCTGCTTAAAGACTGCCAGTGAGGGGGAGCTCACCACCTCCCTATGCAGCTGATTCCATTGTCACACACTCATACTGTAAAAAAGATTTCCTGAGATTAAGCTGGTACCTTCCCACCTTTAATTTAAATACATTATTGCAAGCCCTATACTCTGCTGCCAACAGGAACAGCTCCCGCTCCCCTCTAAGTGACAGCCCTTCAAATACTTAAAGAGAGTGATCATATCCCCCTTCAACCTCCTCTTCTCCGGGCTGAACATTCCCAAGTCCCTCAGCCTTTCCTCATAGGGCTTGGTCTCCAGGCCCCCGATCATCCTCATCGCTCTCCTCTGCACCCACTCCATTCTGTCCACATCCTTTTTGAAGTAAGGCCTCCAGAACTGCACACAGTACTCCAGGTGTGGCCTGACCAATGCAGTGTACAGCAGGACTATGAGATCTTGTGATTTAGATGTTATGCCTCTGTTGATACATCCCAAGATTGTATTAGCCCTTTTTGTCACCACATCACACTGGCTGCTCATATTTAACTTTCGGTCCACCCTTACCCCAAGATCTTGTTCACACACACAATGCTACTCAGAAGTGTATACCCTGTCCAGGATGTGTGTTCCTCATTTTTGTTACTGAGATGTAGAACTTGGCACTCATCCTTGTTAAATTGCATCTTGTTCACATCCACCCACTTTTCCAGCACGTTCAGATCCTAAAAACGTCATAGTAAAATAGTGGGCACCTTTGGTTGTAGTGACCCTGTACTTTTGGAATTTAAGATCTTGGGGAAGGGAAAAGCTGTACATAATCAGACATGTAGGTTGGACTTTAGAAAAGCTAATTTTAATAAACTCTTTTATGCTGGATAGAATCCCATGGCTGACTTGACTTGACTACTCAAGGAGAAGGGAGTTCAAGAGGGATGGGAGTTTCTTAAAAGTGAGATCTTGAAGGCACAACCACAAACAGTTCAAATGAGAAGAAATAACAGGAGATTCCATAAAATGTTTTCTCAATAGTTACAAAGACACATATACAAGGACATTGTAACATGTGAATTGGTTCTTAGTAATGAAAGTTGTGCATAGAAACTCATCTGTGGAATCTCTGTTTGCTGGAGGACAGTGAGCAGTAGGTAGTAATTAGTTAGTTCAGAGATTGACATGCTGTCTCTGACTCAGACAGATTTGGCACAGAGCAGAAATTTATAGTGGCAACCATATGGTAATCCTCTAGGTGATGGTAGCACTAGCTGAAAAGCAGAGTTATGCCGATGATGCAGACTCCTAAACAAAGGCATTTAAAATGGCACAGAAGCTAAATTTATGGTGTGGCTGCAATACGTAAGCACTTCTTTTCAATGAACATACATAAAATAACCCATAAAATTATTTAATTCGTCCGTAATTTGATCGTGCAATTTGCTTAGCTGGCATTTGAGTAAGTATACTTTAGAGATCATGGAGTGGTGGGGAATAGTAGACAGAGTTCTATGGCTACCATATGGTGTTTGGTCTAAGAGGTTGTGCTTCATTATAGACTCGAAGATCGCATTGCCTGCAGTTGTCAATGGGTTGTATTCTAAGAACTTTAAGCAGAAAGTGGACACAGATCTTTTTTGTCTTCTCCTTCCCCCAGTGAGGCCTCCAAACAGTTGATGGGTGTGGTGTGGTAAAATGGTATGGGCAAGGAGGACTGCAGTGAGGAGGGGGGATACAGTGAAATCACCCATCTTTTGCTCACAGACTTCCATCACTACAACTGGCTCTGAAAGAGGAAAGTGGTGGCAGTTGTGCTTCCTCCTTTTCTCTGTTGTGCCCCTTGGCATTTTGTGCTAGCACAGGTGCATCTAACCATCTTCTTTGTTCTATGCACAGTTTCTGCATTATTGTTTCTATTAAAGGGCATGCATATGCTGGAAGTCTTCCATGCACTTCTGTAGATTAGAACAAATCCACAAGAATGTGGAGAGGAATGAATATTGCCCTTCTGTGAATAGCTAAATACACAGCAGCATTGTCACCATTCTTGTGGTACTTGAGCTGATCTACAGAGTTGTACTAACTTTGATCACTTACATAAAAATTGAGAGCCTGTGGCAGTAAAATTCAAATGTGGAAACAGGATTATGACCATCTAAAAAGAGTTTTTGTCAGTTGATAATTGTTTGAACTTTTCTCACTGTTGTCTTTTACTCTCAACAGGTAAACATCCAGAAATAAAAACGTTGATGAAACCAGATTACAACTTGATCTGGATAGTTGTACTGATGGTGTTTGTACAGCTAGTTACTTTTTATCTAGTTAAAGACTTGAATTGGAAATGGGTTCTATTTTGGTCATATGCATTCCACAGCTGTATCAGTCACTCTATGACTCTAGCTGTTCATGAAATCTCTCACAATAGTGCCTTTGGCAATGCTAAACCTCTGTGGAATCGATGGTTTGGAATGTTTGCGAATCTCCCTCTTGGCTTCCCATATTCAGTGTCCTTCAAGAGATACCACATGGATCATCATCGTTATCTTGGTGGTGATGGAATTGACGTGGACATTCCTACTAACTTTGAAGGATGGTTTTTCTGCACCCGTTTTAGAAAGCTCCTTTGGATTATTCTTCAGCCCTTATTTTATGCCATTCGACCTCTGTCTATAAATCCCAAACCAATCTCACGACTTGAAATCATCAATGTCTTGGTTCAGGCCCTTTTTGATGTTGCAATATACTACTACTTTGGAGTAAAATCACTCCTTTATATGCTTTTGGGATCAGTGCTTGGGCTGGGCGTGCATCCTATTTCAGGACACTTCATAGCTGAACATTACATGTTTTTGAAAGGGTATGAAACATATTCCTACTATGGACCACTTAATATGCTTACGTTCAATGTTGGATACCATAATGAACACCATGACTTTCCTAATGTTCCTGGAAAGCATCTTCCAGTGGTAAGTATTAGAAGGTTAGTAAATGAATACTTGTGGCTAGCTGTTTGCCTGCTCACTTGAGAAGAATAAAAGTTGCTTCCTGTCAAGTAGCTTGTTGCTTCTAGGTGGGCGGGTAAGTTTTAGACTGTAAAGCAGGATTGAATTTAAGTGATCTACAGTCTTATTTTATGCTTGTTCACTTGGAAATAAGTCCTGTGAGTTCAACAGACTGTATAGTCAACAAGTGCTTTGTATAGAATTGCAGCATTATTGGACTAAATCTCTCCCTTTGTTTCATATACAAGAACAATTTCAGGTAGGTAGGTAGTAGGTAGCTGGAACTGAAGAAATACTTAGGGTTCTTCAACTAAAGGGGAGCCCTGGCATCATAGTTTACCTGGGGAAGTAGCTTGCTGTGTCCCTGC